ATCAAAGATAAGGTGACCATATGTGTGTGGGTTTATCTCTGGGCTTTCTATCCTGTTCCATTGATCTATATTTCTGTTTTTGTGCCAGTACCATACTGTCTTGATTACTGTAGCTTTGTAGTATAGTCTGAAGTTAGGGAGCCTGATTCCTCCAACTCCGTTTTTCTTTCTCAAGATTGCTTTGGCTATTTGGGGTCTTTTGTGTTTCCATACAGATTGTGAAATTTTTTGTTCTAGTTCTGTGAAAAATGCCATTGGTAGTTTGATAAGGATTGCATTGAATTTGTAGATTGCTTTGGGTAGTATAGTCATTTTCACAATGTTGATTCTTCCAATCCAAGAACATGGTATATCTCTCCATTTAGTTACTTGAATTTTTTTGGTGCCTAATCCTTTGCGTTTCTTCATTTAAAAAAGTCTTTAGGATTTACAGATTTGAATGATATCTTATATATAAATTAATGTAGTCATATATGATATAGCTATTTTTATAACAGTTTATTGAGATATAATTCATATATCATACAATTCACCCATTTAAAGTGTATTTCAGTGGCTTTTAGTATATTCATGAGGTTGTATATCCCCATCCAATTCCAGGACATCCTCATCATTCCAAAAACAAACCCATTAGCCAGTCACTCCCCATTCTCCCCTCCAGCCCCTGACAACCACTAATTTTTCTTCCTCTATAGATTTGCCTATTCTGGACATTTCAGATAAATGGAATCATACAGTATGGGGCTTTTGTGTCTGGCCTTTTTCACATACCATAATGTTTTGCATGTTCATCTGTTTTTTAGAATATATCAGTATTTCCTTTTTATGGCTGAATATTCAATTTTATAGCTAGATTACATTTTGTTTATCCATTTATCCATTGATGGTCATTTGCATTGTTTCCACCTTTTAGTTGTTATGTATAATGCTATTATGAACATGCTTGTGCAAGATTTGTGTGGACCTATGTTTTCATTTCTAGGAGTGGAATTGCAGGGTTATGTGATACCTGTTTCCTTTTGAGGAACTGTTGTAATGTTTTTCAACGTGGTTGCACCATTTGACATTCCTACCACCGATATGATGGTTCCAATTTCTCTACGTCTCCATCAGCACTTGTTATTATTATCTTTTTGATTCTAGCCATTCTGGTATGTGTGAAATGGAGTCCTATTGTGGCTTTGATTTGCATTCCCATAGTAACTAACGATGTTGAGCATGTTTTCATGTACTTATTGGCCATTTGTATGTCTTTTTTGGAGAAATGTTTATTCAGATTTGTTGCCTATTTTTTAACTGTGGTTTTTGTTATTTTTTTAATTTAGTTGTAAGAGTTCTTTATATAGTCTGAATACAAATCCTTTATCAGATACATGATTTGCAAATGTTTTCTCCCATAATTGGGTTGTCCTTTCACTTTGTTGGTGGTGCCTTTGAAGCGCAAAAGTTTTAAAATTTTGATGGAAGTCCCTTTGACCTGTTATTTTCTTTTGTTCCTGTGCTTTTGGTTTCATATCTAAGAAACCATTGCCAAGTTCATAAAGATTTACTCCTATATTTTCTTCTGAGAGTTTTCTAGTTTTATTTCTTACATGTAGATCTTTGATCCATTTGAGTTAAATTTTCTTGTGGGAAAGGCATCCAACTTCATTCTTCTGCATGTAGATATCCAGTTGTCCCAGCATCATTTGTTGAAAAGACTGTTCTTTCCCATTGAAGGGTCTTGGCACTCTTGTCAAAAATCGATTGGCTGTAGACATACGGGTTTATTCCTGGACTCTGTTCCAGTCACCCATGTGTGTATCCTTATGCCAATACCTCACTGTCTTCTTTCTGTCTTTCTTTCTATCTACCTACCTATCTATCTACTTATGGCTGCGTTGGGTCTTCGTTGCTGCACGGCCTTTCTCTAGTTGTGGCAAGCAGGGGATACCCTTTGTTGCTGTGTGTGGACTTCTCATTGCGGTGGCTTCTCTTGTTGCAGAGCACAGACTCTAGGCACGTGGGCTTCAGTAGTTGTGGCACGCAGGCTGAGTAGTTGTGGTGCACGGGCTTTGTTGCTCTGTGGCATGTGGGATCTTCCCGGACCAGGGCTTGAACCCATGTCCCCTGCATTGGCAGGTGTATTCTTAACCACTGCGCCACCAGGGAAGACCTGCACTGTCTTGATTATTATAGCTTTGTAATGAATTTGGAAATTAGGTAGCATGAGTCCTCCAGTGTTCTTTTTTGAGATTATTTGGCTATTCTGGGTTCCTTGAATTTCCATTTGAAGTTTAGGATCATCTTGTCGATTTCTGCAAGGAAGCCAGCTTCTTTTAATAGCGATTGCATTGAAAGATTTTAAAAACTTGTTAGGTTTTTGAATTTGTTTAAATAACTAAAAAACATATAATTCTTTAATTTGTTGAGAGGTAAGTTTGGTGTGTAGTGAGCAGTTGGGCTCTAAATCACTTACTTTTCAAATTGTTAAGCAGTTATTCCACTACTGTCTTTTTTTTGAGCAGCTTATTTCTTTTTTTAAAATTAATTAATTAATTTATGGCCGTGTTGGGTCTTCATTTCTGTGCGAGGGCTTTCTCTAGTTGTGGCAAGCAGGGGCCACTCTTCATCGCCGTGTGCGGGCCTCTCACTATCGCGGCCTCTCTTGTTGCAGAGCACAGGCTCTAGACGCGCAGGCTCAGTAATTGTGGCTCACGGGCCCAGTTTAAGCAGCTTATTTCTTATCAACTATAACTTTTACGTGTAGTTGGCAATTCTTGGGCTCTTCTTTCCATTAAGTTATACTTCTGTGTTCCAGGACTGCTAGGTTAAGATTCTATTTAGTTGTGGGATATAGTTATTTATTTATTTGTTTGTTTATTTCTGCTTTGGGTCTTCGTTGCCACGTGTGGGCTTTCTCTAGTTGTGGTGAGCGGGGGCTACTCTTTGTTGCAGTACGCGGGCTTGTCATTGCAGTGGCTTCTCTTGTGGAGCACGGGCTCTAGGCGTGTGGGCTTCAGTAGTTGTGGCTTGCCTGCTCAGTAGTTGCTGCTCACAGGCTCTAGAGCACAGGCTCAGTAGTTGTGGTGCATGGGCTTAGTTGCTCTGTGGCATATGGGATCTTCTCGGACCAGGGATCAAACCCGTGTCCCCTGCACTGGCAGGCGGATTCTTAACCACTGCGACCCCAGGGAAGTCCGGGATACAGTCTTAAGCTAGTCTGTTTGTTCAAACCCTGAGTGCCTTCTGTGTGTCTAGCCTTATATCAAATGTGAGTGGGTGAGCAGGGGAGGGGTTCTGGGATGGGAGACAACGTGGTCACAGGGTTGGACCAGCTTTCTCTGTGGACAGGGCCACAGATGATGTTTAAGCCAGGCAGTGTGATGGGAAGGCCAGCTGGCCATGGCTGGGTGGGGGTGGGGGAGGTGTTGGAGACTTACACAGTACTGAGGGAGAGGGTGAGGGCAGGTAGGTTCTAGGTGCTGGTGTCCGTGGGCATGCAGGACAGGGCAGGGTGGAATTTGAGTGGGGAAGGGACTTGGGAGAGGAGGGCAGTGGCCCGAACTGCATGGCAGAACATTAGATGGTCTGCCCTGTGCTTGGTGGTGTTTCAACGATGTCAACACTTTAGTTCATACATTTAGGAAGGGTGAGCCACTTTGAATCTTATCTCTTTTTTCCTGTGTCCACCAGTATGACACCGTTCCTATTCAGTCCAGCGTGGTATTATGTTCCTGCCCGTCCCCATCAATGGTGAGGACCCAGACTGAGTCCAGCACGGCCCCTGGCGTTCCCAGCTGTGGTAGCAGGCAGGGCCCCACCATGGACAGCACCACGGCCGAATCCCGGCCAAACGCCAACTCGCTGCAACATGCCACACAGCCGCCACCACAGCCTCGGAAGAAACGGCCAGAAGACTTTAAATTTGGGAAAATTCTTGGTGAAGGCTCTTTTTCAACAGTGAGTACAGACTGCTGCTGTTTGTCGAATGAGGGTGTTTTCCTTGGGAGTACTGGCCTTTCTTGGGACTTGGAGCTGGGGGACTAAGACACCACAGTGGTGTTCTACCCCAGAGGTGGGTCTCAGGCCCTTGGGGATTCCTCTCCTGTTGTGAAGGTGACTTGGGGCTGGCTACCATCAGGCAGATCATGTGGTTTAAATATGTAGCTCATGATTTTATAGGGGAAAGCTTTAAAAGGCATTTCATGATCTTATTTTTAATTTTCTCAAAAAATGCAGTTAGATTGTATTCTAAGTTACATTTCTTATCATTGTGTCCTGTTAGCAAGACCCTGGGAAGCTTTCCTGTTCCTTAGATTAAACATTAGTGTTGGTGTATCTCTTCATAGTTTTGGGGAAACATTTAATGACCTTTGTTATTTCTCTGTTATTTTTAAAATATAAAACAGTACACCACTGACATTTGCTAGAGTTGCAGCCCAAGACCTGCTAGCTTCCAGATTTTTGTGTCCTCAGTTTCATGGACAGAATTACTATCACAGCACTGTCAAGTCACACTCAGGGTAATTCTTTTTGTTACCTGAGAGAGTTTTACCTATCTTGTGGTATTTTTCCTCTTAAAGCAAAGATATGAAGGTTCAGAGCTGCCCTTTGCTGAGTTGGAAGCCTCATGTGGCTGTGGCTGGGCCAGAGGCTTGCTGCAGGCTCGGGAAGGCCAGAGCCCCTGTCCCCTGGCCAGGGTGCATACATAGTCTTAGTCTGTGCCTTCAGAAGAGACAGATCCTTGCCACTGTGGTCTCTGAGCTGGGCCCAGCATGAGCTGCAGCTCCTCAGGCCAGCAGGGCTCCTGAATAATGAGACTTTCTTGCCTGGCCTTTGTGAAGAAACCTCGTGTGAAATTTGTTTTCCTTTTCTTTTTTTCCATTTATGAAATAATTCAAAATACAAAGAACATGACATACTGGGGCTCACCCATGTTCCCAACATCGTTTTAAGTGTTAACTTTTGCTCCTTTTACATTTTTTATTTAGACTTTTTTATTGGCAGTTTTTAAGTTAATGAAAGAATTGGGCCCTCATGATAAAAACCTTCAACTTTGAGGATAATCCCCAGTAGGTCTGGTACTCACAGGTCCTTTCAGAAAGAAAAAACTATTTTGAAAAGAACCTTGGGTGTTCTGCACAGTTACTTACATGAGTCCAGTAAAAGAAGCGTTCTCTCTCCTTTTCTCAGCTGTACTTCATTGGACATTTATATTGACTGGAAAATGAGGATGTATTTATGAAATTCCTCTGTGTCCCTGGGTTTCCACCATTGGTAAAAGTAGGTGCCATCTGTTCTGGGTGACAGATTCCTGATGTAGAAAAGCCCCAGCTGAGATTCTTGTCATCCCTGTGCCAGGGTGGTGCCCAGGAAAGTGCCGTGAGCCTGGAGCCTCCTTTCTGGTACTGTTGGAATCCTGCAGCCTTAGGTCTCAAATTATATGTGCTACTCTCAGTTCCTTCTCACCATTCCTGAAATAGAGACAACTTAAAATGAGGTTTCCAGGGGAGGCAGCTCCCAGGCTGGATCCCCAGGCAGGACCTTCACGTGATGGAGCCTGCGCTGGAGAGGGGGAAGCCTGGTCCACTGCCGCCGGCAACCTGAGGGTGATCCTGATGTCTACTACCCCTGCAGTTGGCCCGGGCCATGTGGAGGGACATAAACTGCATAGAACATGTAGAGTTCACACAACAGAAAGATGACATAAATATCTCCTTCAGATAGGATTCCGTTAAATATTAGTACTCAGTGTTTTTCTTCCTTTTTCCTACTTACGTAGCTAGTGCATGCTGCTGTGAAGAAATTTAGCATTACATCGGTACATAACCTAGAGAAGGCCAGCCCTTCCCCAGCCCACTCTCCTTGACTCACCAGCGCCTGAGAACAGTCCACACAGGTTCCTTTCTCCACAGAGATCTTTAAGATCTTTCCATTTGAACACATATAATCTGACCTTGTTCTTCTTAAAAACTGCAGGGCTACATACAGTGCTTTTCCAGGGTCACTTCTGATGAAATTGGTGAAGAATTCCCTAACGGAATATAACTTACAACCAGGGGCCTCCAGAGGTCTTCCCGGAGGCTCCGGTATTTCCTGGGAGTCGGCAGGTTTTCATCTGCTCTCTGGTCCTCGGCTGTTCCCTGTAGGTGTCTCAGGAGAGGAATTTGCACCAGCTGGCGGTGGTGGGGACCACCTCAGCTCACTGCCAGACAGGGCTCATCAGGCATTTGGAAGTTGTTACTCAGGTTGTGCCCAGGGTGTGTTCGTGTAGAAAGTTCTTTTCAATGTGTGTGAGACCCCACTGGTGCTCTGTCCCCGAAGTAGAGTGTAAGACCGGGCTGTGCTGTGGAGAGGGCACGGGGGGCGGGGGGCGGGTGTGTGTGTGTGACTGCACGCTGGAGGGAGGTGCTCTCTGCCGGCCGCGGTTCCTGTGCCCTCAGTAGCAGGGATGGGATTTACAGCATCTGAGAGTGGCATCAAGTGAAATGCAACTATTATTTGTAAAAGCCCAAATTCAGGGTGGCCTTTTGCAATGCACATGTACTGGGGACCTATCCATAGAGTTAGGTTTTGAAGAAATTCCCAGTACCCACCTTGTGGAGATATTATTATTTGCTGCTTCTTCCTACTGTTTGTGTGAGGGTTATGCTGGTCATAAGGTGTTCCTGAATATATATTTCACTGCACGAGGGGGGACTATTGGCATCTGATGAGGAACCTTTTGTAAACATTTGAGAGATACATGTGTTTCCTTTAACTATTAGAACACATTAACTTAGTCATTGACACTCAGCTATGTTTGTTAGCACAGGACCAAAAATATTTAAAATTAATTTCGTGGTGGGGGCGGGGTAGCCTGTGTGGTTGGTTGCAGGGTGACTTGTGAGACTCAGTGCCCTGGTTACATTGGGTGTTTTTTTCTCTTCTTTTTCCCCCTTTTCTTCCCAAACCAGGTTGTCCTGGCCCGAGAACTGGCAACCTCAAAGGAATATGCTAGTAAGTAACTAACTCCAGCGAGCTAGGATGCTCCAGTGTCTAGGATGCAGGAACAGCGCACCTCTGGGTACGTGGCCACCTGGCTGCCCAGCCCTGGAGGTTTCTGTGCTGATTTCAGGGGACAGGACACTGTTGGTCTTAGAGATCACAAATCTGGTGGGTGCGTTTTGTGAAAAACTTTAATTTTTATCTGTTACTTTATGAGTAGTGTTTTCTTACCATTTCCAATTGTAGTAACTTGCTTCTCTCTTAAGTTAAAATTCTAGAGAAACGTCACATTATCAAAGAGAACAAAGTCCCGTATGTAACCAGAGAGAGAGACGTGATGTCGCGGCTGGATCACCCCTTCTTTGTTAAACTTTACTTCACATTTCAGGATGATGAAAAGCTCTGTATCCTTTGAACAGTCAAAGCCTTCTGGTATCACGCCAGTGGCCCCTTATCGTTTTGGAACCATGACCCTGTTTTTGTTTTCACAAGTAGCCCCTTCCCTGGAAGGGAAAAGGGTAGCTTATTCTAAATACAGACAAATTCACATCACTTTGCTTTGGGACCCCTTGGGATTGCTGACATTCACTGAAGTAGAACATTACTTCAAGGGAGATCATCACAGTCATTTTTGAGGTTTTTTGTTGGTAAGCTTCATATCTAAAGGATCATTATTTTAATGCTGTTCTTGCTAGACATTTATTTAGAAGCATGCCCTCATTCCTTTTTAATCAGCATCCTTGGAGTATCTGTCAGGTGTCGAATCCAGTGCTCAAAGCAGGGAAGTGAGAGAGAGGAAGAAGGATCTTGGGCATCCGGGGCTCCCGGGAGGTGGGCACCTTTCTGCCCTCTTTGGCCCTGGGTTGTGGGGTTTGGTTGGAAGGAACATCTTTCTCAGGCTCAGCTGCCAGGTAGAATGTCTAGGGAGTGACCCACAGGAGCTCAACCCTTTCTTCCTGTATCCAGGACTTGTCCTCCCAGAGACAGACCCTCCGCAGGGCCCTCCAGCCTCCCCGCCTCCCACCCCCATGGATGTCTCTGATCATCCAGTGCCTGGCTCTCCAGGGCTGTGCACACTGCTTCTCCAGCTGCTTCTCCTGCAGGGGCGTCACACCCTGCTGATTCTTTGTTTTATTTCAGGACATCTCATGTTCCCTGACTTCTCCTCTAATCCCTGGAGCACTTTTTTTCTTTCTTCTTTGCTCAGGGTTCAAGGAGACAGGGCACCATGGCAGTCAGGGTGGGCCATATCTGTGTCGTCAGCTTGTCTCTGGGCCATTCATCATACAGCCAGGCCCGCCAGGTCTCCTCACTCCCCAGCCCTTCTCCTGCAGTTGTTCTTCCAAACCGGGACTCCCTCAGCCCCTGTTTGCCCAGAGACTCTGTCTTCAATCCCAGCAGCTGCTCTTGGGTTCTTCTCGACGAGGGAGGTCGAGCTGCCAAATGGAGTTGAGAGTTTGTTCAAGTGTAAACCTCTGTCTGTGCATCTGTTCTTTTCCTCCTGCCCTTAGGTCTCCAGAGCCCCTTCCCCTCACCCCACCACCTGCAAAGCTTGGCTTCCCCATCCCACCTGGGGGTGGGGGCCTGATCTTAAACCCCCTTCCCTCCCCCTCTCTCCTCTCTCCACACATATTCTTCTGGGTTAAAACTTTGCTCGATCGTGTTTCCCCTTTAACACCATTTTCTGGCTCCTTCAACTGTCAGCTGAATGTTTCCTTTTGTTTATTGAGAAGTCCTGGTTGAGTGCCAGGTGATGGGAACATGCTGGTACATGAGGTGAAGGCTCTGCCCTCATGGGGCTTGCATTTCTGTGCAGGAGTTAGATGTACACAGGTGATTAATGGCTGTGTGATAGACACTGAGGGAACAAGAGTAGTAGGGCCAGGTAGGAGTTGGTTGGTGGAGAGTTGGATCAGCTGTTTTAACTTGGTGGTCTGAGGAGATGACGTCAGCCTGAGGCCTGGCCAGAGCAGGGGCAGGTGTGCGTATGTGGGGGGGGGGGGGACAAAAAGGCTGGGCAGGGGTCAGCTCCTTAGGCCTCGGAGGCCCGGCAAGA